CAGTGCCGGCCGTCAGACATCTGTCTCCACATACCCAAGGACCACTTCTCGTGGCTAGAACCTCATGCACGGGGCTGTGCCCATCCTAGCCCCAGGTCCACGCTGTTGCTTGTAATGGAGACACGTGGCCCAAGTGTGGAGCCGGTCCTGGCAACTGAAATGGACCAGCTGCCTCGGATGGACTCGGCCATGTCACGTAGGTTGTAGGCCTCAGCGCCAGAAGGCGTGTCCAAGGACATCTGGTCACAGTGGTGGAACCGGGAGGACCCTCAGAGATCCTCTGGTCCCACTGGCTTGGCTTACAGATGAGGAAACTGAGGCACAGAAAATGTCTCAGCTGCACAAGTAACAAGTGACCGAGTCAGTAGAGGAGGTGGGAAGGCCGACACTGGACATCCCCTCCTGACCCCAGTCCATCCCCATCCATCCGGCCTCCTGGCCTCCCAGCCATCTCGCACGTCCTCAGAGCCCATTGGTTGGGAGTGTGTTCTCACTTAGACAAGGCCACAGCCCAGCTTTGGATGACAGGAGGGAAGGGAGGAGAAGAAGCATTTATGTATTATTGTGTCTCTTATGTGTGGGCACTGTGCTGAGCACCCTTTTTCTTTTTACAAATACTCTCTCTTTTGAGAGAAGAGCAGAGGTGAGCAAACTCCCAGAGGCCTTTCTCAGAGCCCTCCCCTAATCCCACCCCCAAGCCCAAGCCTCTTGGGCACGAATGACCTTCCTGCCATTGTGGTAAAGGGGGCAGAGCAAAGGACTTGAAGGTCAGGCCGTGCATTCGAAACATTTCCCAGGGCCAGTCTCCTCACGTCTTTGACCCAAGATTCAGGCTGATGGGTTTTCTCCCTGGCCTCCTCCAGGAGGCCTAGGACAGTTCCCATACACTCCAGCTTCCTCTCCATAACTGTCCAGGGAGTTGAACCCCTCCCAGGCTCCACCTCCTGGATTGACAGCCAGGAGGTAGGGATTGGTAGCCACAGACTCACCCGGAGAGCCCTGCCCCTCATCCTCCTCCCTCCCCAGCTCTTCTCTCTCCAGAGGCACTCTAGAAGATGGTGCTAATATCCTCTAGAACCAAACATGCTAAGGAAATAGAATCACTGAAGGGTAAAAACTGAAGAGGCATGTAACTGAACTCCTAGGGGCAGCCAGGTGGTGCAGTGGACAGCACTCCAGGCCTGGAGTCAGGAAGGCTCCTCTTCCTGAGTTCCAATCTGGCCTCAGACACTTGCTAGCTGTGTGACCCTGGGCAAGTCACTCAATCCTGTTTGCCTCAGTTTCCTCATCTGTAAAATGAGCTGGAGAGGAAATGACAAACCACTCCAGTATCCTTGCCAAGAAAATCCTGAAAGGGGCCATGAAGAGTCAGACCTGACTGAAAAAGGACTCAGCAACAGCAGTGTAACGTCTGCCTTTTAGGCCTGAGACCTGAGGCCCAGAGAGGCAGTGTAGGACATTCTGTTGGCAACGTCAGAGTGGGGCTAGAAACTTGATCTTCTGCCTTGAAATCCAGCCCTCTTCCCATGACCCCATGCTGCTTTCACCTCCCTCTTTCCAAAAGTGGATGACTGGGTTCTAGACTGTCCAAATGACACATGAGCTGCCATCCCACCCCCCTTGTATCACTTATCTTGTGTCTCTCCCTGTCTACAGGATCTTTCCTGCTGTCAAAACAAGGCCATGTTTCCTCCGTCCTCCTCAAAAGACTCTCATTCGATCCCTTCATCCCTGCTACCTTTTGCCCTTTGTGGCCAAACTGCTTGAGAGGCCATCTCCATGAGATGCCTCCACTTTCTCTTCTCTCACTCTCTTCTTAATGCCTTGTAGCCCAGCTCCGATCTGATCATTCCACCCAAACGACTTTCTCCAGTTGCCAGGGTCTCTTAGCTGCCAGGTCCAGTGGCCTCTCCTCAATCCTCGTTCTCCTTAACACTCTCTAGGTTTCGGTGGACACCACCTCTCCTGGCTCTCCTCCTCCCTCTCTGGCCACTCCTTCTCCATCTCCTTAGTTGGATCTTCTTCTGGACCACACCCTCTAACCAGAGGTGTCCCTCATGGCTCTGTCCTGGCTTCTTGTCTCCCTCTATGCTACTTCAGCTGGGGACCTCATGAGCTCCTGGATTTAATTACTGTCTCTATGCTGATGATTCTCAGATCTACCTTTCCTGCCCCAATCTCTCTGCTGACATCCAGTCTCCCATCTCAGACTGGATGTCCAGTAGACCTCTTAAACTATCGTGTCCAAAACGGAACTCATTATCTTTCCCCCTAAACCCTCCCCCCTCCACCACCTTCCCTACTACTGTAGAAGGCAACATCATCCTCTCAGTCCCCCAGGCTCCAACCCAGGAGTCATCCTGGATTCTTTAGCATCTTTCACCCTTCACATCCAATATGGTGTCATCTCTCAGATATGCCCCCTTCTCTCCACTGACACGGCCACCACTCTGGTGCAGACCCTCCTCATCTCACTCCTGGACTATTGCAATAGCCACTGGTGGGGGGGGGGTGCCTGCCGCAATCCATCTTGCCCCCACAGCCTCCGAAGTGATTTTCCTAAAGCTCAGCTCTGACCACATCACCACCACCACTCCTCCCACTCAATAACCCCCAGTGTATCCTATGGCCACCAGGATCAAATATGAAATGCTCTGTTTGGCATTCAAAGCCCTTATTAACTTACCCCCTTCCACCTCTCCAGTCTTCTTACACCTTGCTCCCCACCACGTCCTCCTCCGTCCGGTGCCCCACTTCCCAGCTGTTCCAGGAACAAGGCCCTCCTGGATGGCTCTCTGGCTGTCTGACAAGCCTGGAAGGCTCCCTCCTCAGCTCCAACTATTGACCTCCCCGGCTTCCTTTAAGTCCCAGCTAATCGCCCCTTCTCCAGAAGCCTTCCCCAGCCTCTTATAACCCCAGTGTCTTTCTTCCTTCTGCTCATTATTCCCTATTTATCCTGTCTTAGCTTACTTATATGTAACTGTTTGCATGCTGTCTCCCTGAATCAGACTGACTCTTGAGGGCAGGGGCTGTCTTTCACCTTTCTTTGTATCCCCACCCTTAGCACTGTGCCTGGCACATAGTAGGCACTTACTTACCAGCTGACTGACAGTTTTAAAAAAGATTTATTTCCAACTACCTTAGCTCTAAGCTGCTGCATCATTCTTTGGCAGTCCCCACAGTCAGCGAGCCAGGTCCCTAGGGACCCTTGTGGGGGATGATGGCATCTTCTTCCCTGGGACCCCTCCAGTTCTGCAGATTAATGGGGATAGGAGTTAGGGGAGAGGGGCTTCAAAGTCACAACAGGGGTGTCCCTGTTTCCTGGCTCCCTCCAGACCCTTGTTGTGCTGGGGCTCTTCTCCTTGGCCTTTGAGCCTTCCCAGCACCTCAGCTCCCACGGAGGGGTCCCCTTCCCTCTGCTCGGCTCCAGCAGGCTTCCGAGCCCTGATTCCACAGGTGTGGGGGAGGGCCTGGCTCCTCCTTCTCCCCGCATGCTCTGTCTGTCTAATGGCTCTGTCTGGCCTTGCAGGTGATGCAGATGGACCAGAAGCTTAACCTCATCACAGACATGCTACACCACCTGGTTGCCTTGCAGCAGGGGGATCAGAGCGGTGGCGATGGCAGCGGCGGTGGGAGGCCCTCCCAGAGGTCCAACTCGGAGATGTTCCTAGGCAATAATTCCCTCCCTACCTATGAACAGCTGACGGTTCCCAGGAGGATGCCAGAGGAAGCATCCTGATGGAGGCTTCGGGCTCCGGGCCCCCAGGGTGGAGGCAGGCTGGGGGACAATGTGAAGGAAGAGAACGGAGGTGATTGAAAACCAAAGCCTGCCTCCCCCATCCTTATCCCTTCACCCGACTGGAGGATGACATGGCGGCTGAGAAATGAGGGTGGCCTTGGCCTGAGCAGCGCTCCTTAGCCCGACAGCAAGGGCTGGGGCTCTGGGCATCATCACACCAAGAATGGGCTGTCCTCACCCAGAGGGGAGCCAGAGAATCAGCAGAGCCTCGTCCATCTGAAAAGACCCGACCGGCCCGGGCTGGGGCAGAGCCGAGGATGAGGCTGTCAGGGACCCAAGCTTCTCCTTCCAAAGGAGACTTGGAATTCGCCCGGTGCCATGCCCAGGCTCTCACCCTGTCTGTCTCTGTCTCTCACTCTCTCTCTCTCTCTGAGCCACGAGACAATAGAACAGCAAGGAAGGCCGCTGAGGCAGGTGGCAGGGGTCCACTGCTTCCCTTGCCTGGCCTGCCCTCTTCTTCCCATCCCGGGGCCCCAAAGAGAAGGCTACAGCTAGTAATGCCGTCCTTCTCTGTTTTTCTTCAGGGAAAGCAGAAGGGGCCTAATCAGAGGAGACTTTTAGAATGTCCTGCTGTGAGGACCAGGAAAGGCCAGCTCCTCTCTAGAGACAAGAACCTTGCTCATGGCTTCCAGTGGTCTGATGGTCTTCTGAGGAGCTACCGTGAGTGCCTTGTCTCAGAGAGCAATCAATATCTCATCAGTCCACACAAATGACAAAAATACGTGGAAAATGCCCTCCTGGTATTCCTCATGATGGCCTAGCCAAGGGAATTGGCTTAGCCAGACCTTACCAACCGAAGGTTTCCTGCTGGAGATTGTCCAACCTCCCATCCCCCTTCGGGCTGTGGACAGGGCTAACCCCAGGTGGGCCTGGATGATCCCAAACCCAGCCCTGGGGACCCCTGCAGGCAGCAGGCCTGTGGGGCTTCCCCGCCAACTACACACTCACTTCAGGGGGTGCCTCTCCCCAGCACATCCTCCCAGTGCTGACCTGATCTGATCTGACTGCTGCACAGTAAATGAGGTCTAAAGGTATGGAGACTGAGAGCTGGAATAGGGAATATTTCTGGGCTTTATGCTTCCTGGCAATCAGAATCATTTTGTGATGATTTGGGGGTTTGTTTCTTAATGAGGGTCACCATGTAATTTCAGGGTATTAATCTTCCATTCATTTCCTAATAAATGCAGAGTATTCTGTGGTTTCCTGGTTTCCAGCCCACTTTCTTTTTTCATTCTACTCCAACAAATAGACTGAGGCCACGGCCAATCCCCTGTGGTTGTACAGAGCTGGTGTCCTCCCTGAGGGCTCTCACACATGGGCTACTGCCCTGCCCCCTTCACCAAAGCCAAGTAGCCAGACCAAGTTATCAGAGAAAGGCCCTGGGCTCAGACTTCACTTTCTCCATGTAGGCCTCCTGGGAACATTTCTCTGCCCAGCAGGGAGATCACAGCTTCTGTAACTCAATGCCCCCACCAAAGTGCCCCTTTCGGGAAAGAGCCCTGGGCTCAGAATCCAGGGGACTGAGTTCAAGTCTCAGTGCTACTCTGTGGCCACCTGAGATGAAAATAAATGATACATTATTATGATTGCCCCTGGAAAATGAAGACCTCGTAAAGCTCAAAGACCAGGCTTTCATCATCCAAATGGTAGCTTCCAGGGACCTTAACGGTCTCTGATGCAAATCCTTCCATTCTACAGATGAGGAAACTGAGGCTCATTGCCCGAGGGGCCACCAAGACTGCTGTCCAAAAGGACAGCAGGTTTCCTCCATCACTGGAGTGCTCAAGCAGAGGCTGAAGGAAAGTGCACTGCAGGAATTGCTCCCGATACAGGGATTAGTGCCTGGGGATGGGTCCCTCCCCACTTGGAGGCCATGGGATTTCACTTCTGTAACACCCTCCCTCCTCCTGCCACAAACCCCAGTGCAGAGCTCTGCAGAGAGGGGGCACTGGGAAAGTGAAGAGTGAATGAATCAAGGGACTGGATGAATGGATGAAGGAATAAAGGAATGGAATCCATTCCAAGATTAAGGAGACACTTCAGCAAAGCTGAGGAGCTCTGGGCAAGGGGAGGAGGGTGTCCAGCAAGAGGTGAGACCCTAGCCAGCCAGCCAGGTCCAGACAGCTGAGGCTTCCACGAAAGTCTGACTTAGGGACCCTTCCTCAGACTACACGTGAGCTCCACGGTCTCGCTCCCAAATACCACATCCCCTCATCAAAGGGTCCTCTGAGAGTCTCCAGCATCTCCCTGGCCATTGTCTTCCCCCTCCCTTGGAGAATATTCTGGCTGAGAATGTCTGCCTACAATGTCAGAGGCGCCCAGAGCTGGGGGAGACAGGGACAGGAGCCAGAGCACCAACCCAGCCTGGGCTCAGGCCTCAGCAGAGAGACAGAAACAGAGGCACACACACAGAGGGGGCCCTCAGCAGGGCCCAGCACCCTTGTCCTCCGTCTCCCAAAAGCCCTGTCTTCTGGAAGCCCCAACCCAGGGGCTGAAAGGCACTTCTGGGGTCCCTACACTCAGCTACCCCCCAAACTCAGTGCACGCCTGTATTGATGCTGGGAAGTTCCCAGGCTCCTCATCCCTGAGGCCCAAGCTGGGAGGGAGAGCTCAGAGGGTCCTTCCTCAGAGGTGCTGCCTTTCTCTAGATGCACTGACCAATGAGCCACCCAGCTGGTTTGCCCCACTCCCCTCGCCCCCATCACTGTTAGTCAGGGATGGTTTTGATCAGGGAGGAATCAGAGTTCTCTGGACCTGGAGCTGCTGTCAGTCAGTCAGTCGACAAGAATTCCTGAAGGTCTGACTACCTGTGGCCGGTATTTTGCTTCCATTTACCTCTAGGAAGCAAGGGCGCGCTATCCTGGTGAAATCTTATTTATCCCTTCTTCACCACCACCACCACCACCACCACCACCACCAGCCCTGTGCTCTGCATACAGACACTTAATGTACGGTTGAATTAGAAAGAATGTGCCTTTCGTATCTGGAAATTCGGCCTTCTTGGTGCCAGACCTGGGGAAAGGCCTGGGGAGTGGGGCAATCTTCCTTTGGACGGTTTTTGCTGAGTCCAGGCTGTATCCCGAGCCCATACAAGATCCTACCTCAGAAACCCAGGTAGGTTCCATTACAAAAAGGACTACAGACTCCATGAGAGCAAACCCTTCACTCCACAGACTGAGAAAGCCGGGGCGGGGGGGGGGAAGGAGGCGGCCTGGCACGAAGAGCTAGGCACTGAAGGAAGGCACGAGGATTCTAGAGTCGAGAGTCTTGCAGGAGGAGCGGCTCTGGGGCATGGACTGTGCACTTTGCTTGAGGAAGCATGTCTATGACAAGAGATTTATTTTTTCTTTTTTAAATGTGGTTCGGTTGCGGGGAGAGAAAATAAAATATTTCTAATTGAAAAAACTAAATTAAATTTTAAATTAAAATAAAATGATTTCATTTCCCACCCAGCTCCACTCATCCTCCTTCACCATCATAGCCCTGCTCCAAGCCCCTCCCCCTCCTTACTTGAGAGTTCCTATTAGATTGTGAGCTCCCTGAGGGCAGCTCAGCACCATGCCTGGCACACAGTAGGTGCTGAATAATGTGTATTGACTGACTGAGCTGCCGGGTTCTGAGCTCAGATCTTCATTGTTTCAACTGCAAGAATCAGTCTGCCATTTGCCACTCACTGGAACTGAGGTTAGGGAGTCTGGGTCTCACAAGGTCTCACTGCCGACATCCCGCCCCTGTGGCCTTGGAGACTGCTTGCCTTCGGCTCCCCTGTTCTGCATCCAAGGCTTCCCCCAAGCCACAGGGGCTTCACTGGAGGCTGCTTCTCTGGCCACTGCTAGGGCCCCTCCCTGCTTCGAAATGGCCCTGATTTTCTGGATTCTCGACCTCTGGGTTGATTTGCACTGGTCCCTCCCCAGCCCCATCTACCCCCACGCCCGGGTCCCTGGAATGCTCTCTGTCCTCACCTCAGCCCACAGACTTAACCAAGGGCAGAGAGTGAATGAGGGATAAAGGCCAGGTTACTAGACTTTCCTGCTTCAGTGGCAGGTGGGCTGATAACCAGAGCACTTTATCTACGCCTTCTTTAGCTTAGGAGGGAGTACCCAGAACATCAGACCGGAAGGGACCCGCTCTAAGATGCTGGGTCGGGGGGGGGGGGGGGGGGGCTCCTCCAGCCCCCATACCCTCAGGAGGCCCTTCCCACTCCAGGGAAGTTCTTGTTGATGGAAAATTTTCTGACCCCAGACTCAATCTGAACTCGCTCCCCCTGTTGCAGTTCTGCCATGGGGGGCCAATCCCTCTTCCCGTGGGAGCATTGGCCCCAAGCCTGAACCTCTCAGCTCCAGGGCCTGGTTTCCTGAGGCCTGAGGAGAGCTTCCCTGGCCTGGCCCTTTCCAGTTCCCTCCCCATCCCTCTTCGCCCTGGGCTTGCAACAAGGCTGGGCTGCCCATGACTGCCACCGCCCCCACTCCCAGGGAAAAGGTTATGGGGGATGCCTGGGTTGATGTCGGGGCCCCTGCTGGGTTTCATTCTGCCGGCTTCTCTTGGGACAGTCTTTTCTGACTGCGGTGAGTGGCTTCTCTGGTCCTCTGTGCCTCTGGGGAAGACTGTGCCTCAGGCCCTTTTTCCAACACTGCCCAGGGAAATCCCTGCTGATTAGTCACTGGGCACCCTTGGTAAGTCCCTCTCCCTTCTGAGCTTCCTCAGTTTCCCTCCTCCTCACAAGAGGTTTGAATTGGTTGATGGCTAAGGCTGTCTCCAGCATGGACATTCTGTGTCCAAGGGGGCTTTTGCTCCCAAATGCTACGGACAGCAAAGTCTGAAAGAGGCTGAGTTTTGCCTTGGGCCTGAGTGGGGACTGCTTGTAGGGGGCCTCAGGTGGCCCAGCTTGGAGAAGACATGAGGCATTGACAGTCCCATGCATCCTCAATCTCTCTCCCCAGAGCTTTCTCAGGTGGGCCCCCTGCCTCTGTTGTGACAGCTGCCTTCATCTCCTGGAGCACAATTGATCCAGATCCTTAGGGCAGTTGTCCTTGCCCCTCTCCCTGTTCGCAGCCCCACCCCCCACCCCCAACCAAACACCTCCTTGGGAAGTCAGAAGCAGCAGGGCCTGAGGCCTGAAAGGAAACCCAGTGCCTCCACTCACTTCTAGGAGACAAATTCAGCACCAGCTCCAGCGGGGAAACTCCCTCCCTCCCTCTGATTTTGTCCATTCCTCCCCGGACCCAGCCGGGCCCATTCTAAGGAAGCCTGACTCCAGTGAATGAGCCTGGTAGGTTTGTGCTTGGGTGGGCAGATTGGGGTGGGAGACTGTACTCATGATCCCATTTGTGGGACTTGCTCTCCAAGCTCGGTCCTCAGGCTGGGTGGACCAGAGAAGGTGGTATTTCAGTCAAGGTCACACAGAAGCCTCTCACAGCCCATGTGGCCCAGGGTTGCCAGGCTACCATACAGTGGGTTGGTGCCCGTCAGTGACTTGGCGAGAGTCCCCAAGCCCCCAAGAAGAATGTCAGGAAGGGACCCTTGGCCCTTTGTTAATTACAAAATAAACAGACATCCGGCCTGCTGGGATGCAGGGGCTACTTGTGGGGCGTTTGCCTTGGAGGGAGGAGGTAAAAGAAAAATCCAAGATGGGCCCGTGCAGCCCATCACCCTTCAATGGCTGGGGCACCCTCTGCAATAAGGAGGGGCTCTCCAAGCTAACCTAGAGGGCTTGGCTGAAGTGGGGGTGGTACATCTGCTGGAAGACTGCCAGGCTTTGAGCAGCCCAGCTCCTGCATTTCTGGAGTGGCCCCATGTGCAGCAGGAGAGGGGCAGGAAGGCAGCCTGGGACCCCAGGGAGCCCAAGTGCTGTGGGCCCCCTGGGTAGCTGCAGGACATTCCACTCACCAAGGGAGGGCCCCATGTGAGTAGGAGGGACTGAGGCCAGCCTTCCCCAAACTATGCCAGGTACCTGAGAGGTCTGAGCATTGAGGAAATGTACCAGAAAAGGGAAGCTGTGGCCCAAAGGTGGCCCTCATCATTCCTTCCTGAGCCAGAACTCCCCCACAACTCCATCCCAATAGTGCCCAGACCTCACCCACCCCTGGCTGCCCTCGGGAGGGCCCCAGCCCCCTGCAGGCTCTACCTCTCCCCACCTAGGACAAAGGAAAGAAAGATGACTCTTCAGCCCACCCAGCACCTGGTGGTCCCCAGGATCTTGGT